AACAAACCAAACTTGATGCGTGCAAGCGGCTGAAGTCGCTGGAGGGTCTTGGGCTTGAAGGTACCTGGCGTCCTTGGTCTGTGCATACATAGACATATTCAGATTTAGGTGAGGCAGGACATAGCCATAGGTGTCCAGGTTCTGTAGAGCCTTGTTTATGCTTGGTGGTTTCAAGTGAGCTCGGTTATGTATGTCATCTGAAGACCTCATAAAGGGAAATATGGGTTTGGCATGTACGATCAGACAATGTCAGGCAGGAGTGAAAAATTCACATAAAATATGGGGAAAAGGAGTGCAAAATTTGTCCTCATAGAGTGTTGCTTTACACCCAAAGTCGGCAATTCTGGAACACTGCTTCGGCTATTGTTTCGAGAAAGGCATGTTGCCAAAATATTAACCTAACTATATTTCTATTCTCCTGGTTTTTGCGAGGAATAAGGCCAATATTAGTGTCTTATCTGGCGCCTTTAAAATCAAGCAATTGTGTACTTGCGCGCAGTCTTGCCAAATGTGACCGACGTCTACCCCCAGATCTTTGTGTCCTTGTCGGTGCTTTTATATCAATCACTGCAAACGTAAATCGATTGAAGTCCATCGATTTCAGTTGCATTCGAAGCATGTCAAGAAGGTTCTCTTCTGCGTGACACTCTTTAGAATTGTTGCCGGACGTGTACGCAGTACGACACGTTTGCTGTTTACAACTTAAGAAATGTCGTGACGATAACTGCGCATGCAGACACAAGGGCTTGTTGTTTGCAGGTACTCGACGTGCTTCTGACAATGGTATCTGCAGTCGGTCTTGGGCAAATTGGCTTCTGAGTTATTGAGTCAGATGAGCCATTTCCGTCTAACTTTGATCGAGTTGCGGAAAAAGATTCAGCGCGTCAGGCAAGGATTTTTCGTGATGCACGGAAAGATCGCTAAAAAGTCATCGCTGCATATACGATTGCTGCTCTGAGGCTAAGGCACCAAGACCAACAGGGATCATAGACCAACAGGGACCAACAGGGAGGAACCTGAGGGATCATGGGTTCCGCGCGAGGCCAGCAAAACGACTCAAGTCAGCAATATAGGATCCTCAGGGCAATCGAGAAGAACCCAAGACCAGCCTGTTGGGCCCCCGAGCGACCGGTAATGCCCGGCGGGCTGACACACAGTACCCCGACCAGAGGGCAGGGCCCTCTGAGGAAAGGAAAATGATCGAAGACCAATATGATGAATCAATACCCCTGTGCGATCAAGGGTGCCCGTACAGGGTGAAGGACATGACCGCGATAGACGTGAAGATTCCTCTGCAAACAAGATCAAAGGGAAAGAGCCTTCGTTCAAAGAACGGGGCCCCTGAGCAGCTCAGCACCTTACCTTATATGAGCCTCACTAACAGCACAAGGCCTTCCGAGCAAGTGGACAGAATCCAACACCAATGTGAAGAGCCCTTGAGGAACTGTGTGTACCCTGGTATATGGGGCCCCGGGAAAAAGCGTATAAGGCCTTTGGGGCGAATGGGAAGAATCCGTGGTGGAAAACCTGATCGAGCAAGAGTGCCCGGGCATGTGAGAAAGTAGTGTCCGAAAAGCAGCGTAGGGCCCTGCGATGAAATGCAAAGATATCAGAGGGCAGCGTGGCTGGCTCCGTAGTGATCCGATTGACCCGGCAAGTGGACATAAAAGGCCCGAGCAACAGCGTAAGGCCTCCTCCTTAATCAGCGAAGAATTAACTTTGTCTGCTCATGGGCTATTCAATTTCGCTTGCAACTGTTCTTGGTCGTCTGTAGCCCAAAAACGTTCAACTGTGTGCTGTTTTGTGTCCGTAAACTGCATCCGTTCGACCGGTCGTGGGCCCTTTAGGAGCCTATGGGTCCCCTCAGGGCCAAGGGGGCACGATCCCGTGCCCCCCCCCCCCCCTGTATCCGTCACCGGCCTGAGCAGCTTAATAGATGGAGCTGTGCTAAGAACCACCCCTGAACCAACCATCCTAAGAACCAACCTTTGAAGGCCATCCCTTAAACTAAGAATTACCCAAGACATAACATGGAGGGTCCGCGAATGATGGAACGTGCCCAAGCAGGTTAACAGATAGGACTTGCTACAAGAGCATGGGTCACACAAAGAGCCACAAGGACCCATCGAGATTACCCCTTCCTAGGTTTCTCTTCCATCACTGAACTAATCTTACCACCTGACCTACCTGAATTTTGCTACAAATGTGATCCTTGGACCTATGCATGAGGGTCTTCTATTCAAATAAGAAATACCAACGACGCAATGTAGATGGACCCCGAACGATCGGGTACGCCGGAGCAGGTTTACGGACAGGGCCCCCGAAAAGAGCGTAGAGCCCTCCATTGAAATAGAAAGCGCCGAAGACCCAATGCAGAGGCCTATCTCCCCCTCCCTCCCCCGAACGATTGAATGTGCCCGTGCAAGCTTTCAGATAGGCCCCCCAACAAGAGAGTAGGACCCTGCATTCAAATAAAACGTACACAATACCCAGTGCGGAGAGCCGTCGAAAGATCGGCTGCACTCGAGCAGCCTACCAGATGGCCCCTGGCAGAAGCGTTGGACCCTACATTTAAATACCCAATGCGCAGGGCCTCCAAACAATCCAGTGTGCCCGAGCAGGTTGGAAGATAGGGTTCCACAAGTATGTAGGGCCCTGCATTGAAATGGAGAGTACCCAAGCCCCAATTTGGAAGAGCCGGAACGACCGAGTGAGCCCGAGCCGGTTAAGATAAATGTGGAAGGCCCATGAGCATATCACGAGTGTGTCGATAGGTTATTCTAGACCAACGTGAAACGCCCCTGAGTAACCGAGAATACCCCGACAAGTTAACATATAGGGCCGCCGACCATAGAGTACAGAACCTTTCACGCAAGTGGAACGAATCCGTGAAAGGTTCCTCCTTGACAAGAGCGCTCCGGCACGGTAGCAGGAAAAGCCCAGCAACAGCCCAGGACCTTACGGGCAAATGCAAAGAAAAATAAGTGCATCGTGGGAGGCTCCTTAACGGTTGCACTGACTTTGCAAGTGAGCATGTAGGTCCCTCGGAAACAGCATAGGGCATCTGTACAGCGTAATGAGCCCTTTGATATCCCAATCACGACACCCTTTACCAGTGAAGAATAGTTTTGTCTTCTCCTGTTCGGCTTACGACTGTCTTTGGACGTCTGGAACTACAAAAATTCAACTTTGAGCCCCCTTGGCCTTATAGGGTCTTTTCGAGGCCCCCAGGGGAAGCGGTCATGACCCCGTGCCTCCCCGTTCTGGATCCGCCCCTGACGTGACGTCATGTAGAATTCATGGCGTCCGGGCCGCTGCCAACAAAAAAGGTGCAGAAACCACGGGGTATGTGTCATGCGGGACATCGACGGCTTGAATTCTTTGTCGTCCGGGTTGCTGCGTTGACACCCTTCACCGGTTGGAATAGCAAGCGATGATCAAACAAGCCGCCAGTCAATTTTCCAGCAACCCGCGCCAAACATCGCCTAACTGTAGGCAACTGAATATCAGATTTTTTGACATCAGAAATTTGGGTGTACCTTGTAAGATCGCTGATCTATCCTAAGTCAAAATCAGGTCATGGATTCAGCGAAGACGATTTCTAAAGAATCGTTTCTGGTGCAACAGCGGAGTGTTGTACGAAACCATACATATCTGAGGAAGTCTCTTAAGAAACACAACAGATGAATGCATAATTTGCATTGACCTAGGGTCAGAAATAACGGTCAGAACTGGGTCAAAACCAGCCTATTTTAATACTCAAGAGCTTGCTGGGTACGGTAGTTTCTGCTACTCATTTCAAATTTATTGATTGTAGGAGCCGCATGATAATCGTTCATAGATTTATTAAAGATTAGGATAGGTCACTCACCTAAAATGATTCAGGTTAACATTTCATTTTTAGCAACATCCTGCCAAGCGTAATCTTTGACGCTTTTTTATTGCAAAACTCAAAGCAGTCTTATTTGTTTTGGTCACCATAACCTCCGACAGGTCAAACAAGGTCACTGACCTAAAGTGAGCATCAGTGATCTTTTGCTTAGAACATGTATCTAAATTCAGGGGCACTTTGGACACCTATGTCGAGTTTAGCCTTGTTTGACCTTCTTTGACCCGGATGTCATGGCCCAGTAAACCCAAAGTTTGACTCAAATGAGTTCACGTTCAGGCCAACACACCCTATAAATTTGGTGTCTTTAGCTCTTTAAGTTTCTGAGATCTGAGGAGGTCAAACTGATCCCTCACCAGAGCGAAGGGTATCTAACCAATCACCCGGGCACGTGTTAATGTATGCAAACAATGATGTAAGTAATCCTTTTTAATTACATAATCAGTATTTCATAGGACAAACAAAAGGCATCTCGTAGCTCCATTCGCTTCGGTTTGGTATTATCTGCGTGGTGAATACCTTCCCTCTGCTTTCAGCTCGCCCGTCCACACCAGAGGACACCTTGATGTTTTGTAGCGATCCGGTGCGGAAATAATTCACCATCATCGAGGTGAAATCCAGTCAGCAGGTCATCGACTGAAGGGGAGCGGGGGCACGTAAATGGTTCCGTCTTGTTCCATAACTAAGTTGTTATCACAACCTTTCAAACCCAGAATTTTTCAGTGGAAAATGTGGAGAAATCCCGTCCCTGCCAATACAATTTTGCAAAGCCGATGACTCGCATTCTACTCCACACAGTGCACCCACTAAGACGGTTGGCAATCGGGTGTGCTGCTCACGAGTGTTTCTGGCTCTACTCTCCTCGCGTACGCACGGATATCGGTTTCTGACATTCCCACCGACCGCTCCTGCAGGCATGACGCAATCAATGCTCACGAGAAAACTCACTATCAGTCATACGCGTCGCGCCGCAGCTGGCAGGCCAAGCTGCCTGGACGCTGATTGGTTGCTGTCCCAGCCGCGAGCGCCCTGATTGGCGGAGGCGGCCGGACGCGGGAACTCGGCCAGTGGACCTCATCAGCGGGCGTTCCCGACAGTAGTACTCGGAAAGCGGCGGCGTGGAGGTCGTTGGAAGAGGGCGTACGGCCGCGGCTCAGCGTTCTCGCGCCGCTGCGGCAAGTGAGAGTGGGCTAGGCGACCGAGCTAAGCCCAGTCAGCTGTCGCAGGGTCCTGCCCACGGGCCTCTGACCGGCGCGTGTGTGTGAAGCGGCGACCTGGCGCCGATGCTGTGCCCGCCGGGCATGGGCGGCAATGTGGCGGCGGCCGACGGTGACCTGTGGCGGATGGCGCCGGCCCTGGCGCGCCAGACGCGCCGCTGCCGACTGGCCGCGTTTGGGGGCACGCCGGCGCGTCGCTGTCTCTCCGAGCCGGCCGACAGCCAGCTGCTGAACCAGTTCGTCAAGGAGGAGCACGCCGCGTGTCGCGCCGCCGACCGCAGTCGCTACAACTTCGACTTCGACCTGATGCTGCCGCTGGAGGGTGGTCACTTCGTGTGGGAGCGGGTGGGGCCGGCGGGCGCGGCACGGCCGCGGCCCGAGCCTGTGCCTAGGCCCAGCTCGCCGACCCCGACCGCGCCCAGCCCGGCCGTGTTCGGCGCCGAGCCGGCCGAGCTGCGGTTCGCCGCCGACGTTGTGCGGCCTAGGGTGGGCGCGCCGCGGGCGCCGTCCGAGATCATCCCGCGGAGGAGGTCGGACGCCGGCGGCGTGCCCTCGTTGGAGGAGGCGCCGCGCCACGCCGAGCAGGCCTGGTCACCGGCCGCGCTACACTCCGAAGCCGCCGTGCAACAGACTGCCATTACAGGTGAGCGTGGCGGACGGGTACAGCAGTCCAGCTAGTGGCGAGCATGTCGCGATTCGTCATCACCCGTGGCGTGTTTTGAACGCGGCCTTCAGCCCCGCATCCGATCTGTCATCCCGATGTAAACTCCAGCCCGCCTCCCGTCCACTGACGCACCATGTCACCTTCCCCCCTCCTCCCTCCCTTCCCTTGAGTTGTAAATGCTGGATGCCAGGTCAGGCGTGCAGCCAGTATATCCGCGTTCTGCTGTCGCATGCGATCTCTCCTGTTCCGAGCCAGCAGAGCCAGAGCCGGCCAGCAGACCGCCTGTTCCCAGCAGGCTGTCCCGGCTGGCTCTGCCCGCAGTTAAAAACAGGCGTCGTGGCCTGTAGGTCATAACGGGACCGCATGGCGCCAGATTTCCAGGAGCCATGAGTAATGGGGGCACGGTGACATAGGCCTTCGCAAGAAATTAATGGTCATTTTTATCATGTTTTGAGGCCACATCTGTGCGGGTTGACTTCAGGGCACGCTGGCCATTTGGGTATTAGCACACAGTTAGGTATAATGTTGAAGCGTATTTGGGGAATTCTATTATTCTTCACAGCAGGCGGCCCGTCCCACCGCCGATGTGACCTGCCATAATGCTTCTGAAATTCAGCTTTGAACACAGAGACGCTTTAGTGTGAGGTTATAACCCAAATATCTGCTGTGTTAATCCTCTCAGCAGTTTTTAGTGAAGCTTATCCTGCTTTGATTGGTGTAACGTTACGAACACGTGGATAATTGTGATAGTGAAGGCACATAATGTTTTGCGTCACGCAAATCCTTCGTTCCGACAATTGTCTCGAATAGCTTTTGTCGACAAGGCGGATCTCTTTCTGAACGTATGCTGCTTAGCTGTGGCCCTTTAGAGGAAGATTGTAAAGCAACGAGCCTTTTGTGACATCTTGATGTGTATTGTGGGCGGCTGTTTTAATATTATTTGGTTGGTATTGATCTTTCCCATTTCAACCCGCGTTTCCAATATCCCGCATCTAGCCGCGTCTACTTTAATTGCACAGATCTATCCAGCTGTACATCCACATGCCTCGAGTCCAGATCAGAGCGTGCCATCACCGCGCATGGACGGCCAGTGGTTTCCCCAGACACTGCATGGCTCGGCGTTATGACGACACCACGTGGACGGGACTGGACCAAATGATGTGAAAAGGCGTGACGGCCTCCAGCGGTGGCCGTCTGCGGTATACCGGGACGATCCCCGAGCTGGGGCCGTCTGAGACCTGCCGGCCGCTGGCGCTGTGGCGTTCCGGGCGCTCGCCTCCCGAGGCGACCAGACCGGCAGACAGACTCGGGCAGACCCAGACTCGGGCAGACCGCCCGAGGCGTGCGAGCTCAGACTCGGCCAGACTCAGACTCGGGCAGACCGCCCGAGGCGTGCGAGCTCAGGAGGGCGTGTTACGGCGGCCGCCGTGGCCGCCACCCCGCCTCCGACGGTGGCCGGCCCGGATCGCTCACATAAACACGGCCGGCCGCACTCGGCCCAGGCGGGGCGGCCGCCGCGCGGCCAGCTGGCCGCGCCGTGACGTCACGGTCACGTGATGTGGCGCGTAACACGGTGGCAGCGCGGCAGGCCGGTCAGCAGGGGGCGGGGGGGGGGGGGGGGGAGCTGGGCCGCCTCGTCGGCATGCGATGATGCAATGGTGCTGCCGCTTGACTCGCCCCGAAACGTAACACAGTGACGTACATTCACACTGGACTGTGGTCATCCGATATGGGAACGGGGAGGAGATGAGCGAGGTGACCCGCTGTGAAGTACAGTGGAATCACAGTCGCTGACTGTCGGCTCAGATTTAGCCCTGTGCTCCATGTTGCGGTAGAAGCACAGTAAGCGCTTTCGACGCGCTTCCGTGATTTACACGGGAATAAGGAACGCATCAATTCCGAACTGCACTTCCCTGTGTCCGAAGCGTAAAACCTGTGTTACGCTTCGGCACGGTTTTCACGTGAACGAAAACCCGACGGGCATAGCGCGCTGGTGTGACAGGGTGGGGAGGGGGGAGGGGGGGGGGGGGGCTCGCGACAGTGAAAGCAGTGAATTTTATATCTCTTTAGGTCCAGTCCTTTTTAATTTTTGCTCTTGCAATGACGCTAAAAGTCGAGCAGTAAGCAAGGAGCACGTTATTGTGTTACTGTATGCAGTCAACTAGCCATGCTCTCTACAGCCTGCATTTGTGGCCCATTTTTATATGTCAGAGAGTGAGCCATGTCTTCCAGGCAGTGTGCGACGGTTGCCACTCGTCTGTATCTCAGCTGTTCAGCCGTCTTTGGTCATTACCCAACCATACCGCAGATGGTCAAATATGTGTCATCTGCGTCCTCACTGTCGAACCTTGGAGCAAGGTGGCTAGGAATACTTCAAAAGTCACACGTTTACCTGTTTGCGGTCTGTCTGCCTGCGAAGCCTGAGCAGCACGTGACCTTTTCCTCCCTGTAAACATTGTCTGCGGCTGTCACGTGCGCCGGGGCTACGACCGTGGAGCGGCCGTCGTCTACGGCCGCTCCACGAAATCAGCTGACTTCTTCAGAGGAAACTTCGCCTGGCCTGCGAGACAACTAGGTCAGGGGTGCCACAGCTGGGACCAAAGCAAAACACGGAGGAAACTGATCCGACTGGGCGGCGGCGCCGCCGGCCGCTGCCACCGCTCGGGCGGGCCCGAGGCGCCAGGTGGGGCGGCCGGGCTGCCCCACGGCCGGGCGGCCGGCCTGTCATCGCGCCCGTGCGGGTCCGGTTTCCCAGGGCAGCGGTAAAAAAGGTCGGAGTGGCCTTCACGACTCGCGGACGGGCGCCACCACGCGCCGCCAGCCACAGCCGGCGCTGAGGCGGGCTCTGTTTATTTACTTGTTTATTTGCATACCAGCGAGGCCGACCAACACTGTTTGGATCGGCAGGAATTTTGGTGCCTGCTTACATCCCGCACTGCGCTGTGCTTGCAGATGGCTATTGATGGCTGGTGGCTATTTATGTGCCCCAATGTTGAACAACGTTCCGGAGATCTGCTGGGGCGCGGTTCAGACTGAGAGTACGGATGCTGCTCTTCAAGGTCCAAAAATTAATGCACAACACGCACCGGCACTGCACGTCGCGTTGAGAAAACTGCTACATCGTATTCCGCACACTCAGAGGTGCCGTTCATATCTACGGATACAATTATTCTGCGCCTTGGCCACTATCGCAAGAACGCCGCGTGCGCTCACCGGCGCACGCGGCGGAGTGGCAGATGGGTGGACGGACAGCTATGACCACCAGCTGACCGACGCCGTGTGGCCTGTTTCAGACTTTCTGCGGAGCCGGAAGCGTCCGTCGGCCTTCTCGCCGTGCGAAGGCCGCAGCGCCAAGCTGTCCAGCGCTCGGGAGCGGTCAGGGGCCGCGGAAGCGCGGCTGCCCGCCGCCGACGGAGCGGCTGGGACGGAGCGGCCGTCGCCGCTGGCTTAGTCGGCCCGGCCGCGGAGCGCCAGGTCCGGACAGCGCACCGGTCCGAGTCGTCAGGGCCGGTCTAGCCCCGACGGCGACCCTGGCGTCGGTCCATCTCACCCAGCGGTGATCGGCGTCGACCGAACGGTGTCACACTGACACCGACAGGATTCTCGTTGGCTCCACCGTGTTGATCCGGTTTGGACAGGCGGCGGAATGGTCCCAGTGGAAGCCGAGCGGGGCTGGAAGGCGAGCCTCGCGAGCGATCTCAGCAGTCGCCGCTGCTGACCTCGTGATACCGTGTCGTTGGCTCCGCGGTGGCCGCACCTGGCTGTTTGTCGTCGAGCTTCGGCGAGGTCAGAGGTCAGGGATCGTGACCCCGACCGTGGGACGTAGCCCGCGGTCAGACATGTGATACCGGTGCCTTTCTCTGCGACTGGGCAGCGCAGGTGACTATGTGCATGCCGAGGCTAGGCGCCAGTGACGCGGCTTGCGCTCGGCGTCCAGTGGCGTCAGAGCAGAGCTGCCGCGACAGTGGGGTAAGGCTGGACCCGTGTGCCGGCTTGTATAGGGGCCCTGTCATGTTCTGTTTGTGACCGATGCCTGCGCCTTAACGTAGAGGGGTCGGCCGGAGCCTGCGGAGGACCCCGCGCGCAGCCTTGGCCAGATTGTAACGCCCAGAGATCTCGTACCAGCGACGTACCAACGACCGCACCGGTCCCAACCCGACCGGACACCAGGCTACAAACCCGGACGATCTCGCGTCAACAGCTGTACTCTGCCTGTGCCGTCTTTCGGGAGCCCCGCCGACGGTGCGGGCGCCGGCCCATGTCTGTGATGACGAGCTATTGTTTTGATAGCGTTTTGCTGGTTTTGACTTCGTATGATGTTTTTCAGGCGAAATAAAATGTGAAGCAAGCATAATTGATTTATAAGTGGGTTGGTGCTGATAGGTATGCCAATCTATCACAGCAGTAACGCAGGATCGTCGAACACGCTTATCTTCAATTCAAAGGGTCTCCTTTTTCGTATCGCACCGTTAAACACGGTTGCCTTTGGAATAAAGCAGGCGTCGTCAACACATATCCATGAAAGACGGCTACCAGCGAGACGCATCTGCACCGAGCGAATAACTCAAATGCGCAACCGTCACCCACCGTCATCCAATGCTGTTCATCCGGCTGGGAGGTTACGGGCGATTCCGCGCTGAGCATCCGATCTATATCAAGCCGCTACATCAAGCGGCGCTTCGCGGAGCATCCGATATATATCAAGCCACTACATCAAGCGGCGCTTTGCAGAGTGTCCGATCTATATCAAGCCGCCACATCACAGCGCTTCGCAGAGTATCCGGCTCAAAAAGCGGCCCGTTTTCCTGCGCACGTCGGGCACCGGCCGGCACATCGCTCCATTCCCGGTCCTGCACGGCGTCGCCCCAGCCCGGATCGGCCCCTGGGAGGTCGGAGGAGATAACTCCCCGCTGGCAGGGCCCTGGCACCATCTCCCAAGCCATTCAGAGCCAACGGCCGCTCTGCGGGCGCCATCACCCTTTAAATTCAAACGGTTCTCGGGGCTGGGGCTGGCCGGCCTGGCCGCTCGCCGTAATGCGTGCGTGGATGGCAGGCTCGCCGGACCGCCAGGCATTGGACAGGCGGGGAGGCGAGATCAGTTGGAAAAGGCAAGAGAGAGAGGAGGAGGAGGAGGAGAGAGATCGACAGACAGACAGAGAGAGAGAGAGAGAGAGAGAGAGAGAGAGAGAGAGGGGGGGGCGAGAGAGAGGAGAGAGGACGCAGCTTGTCCACCTGTTTCAACCCTAGCCGTGACCTCTCTTGAAGAAAGCACGAGAAAGTGCTAGGAGGCGCGAATAACCTCAATAGTTTACCACCGTGCGGGTGATGATGGTCGAAATACGCGTCGCATGCACCCGGTTCGTCGCCAAGGAAAGTTATGGAAGTGACACAGGGAAAAGTAAAAGGCTTCGGCGACATGGTAATACTGAGGCAGACGAGAGCAGACACCACGCAACTGGTGCCAGCAGGGGCAGTATAAGTCTAGAGGGCGGCCGAGGTCACTGCCGTGTTCATCCAACTACTTCACGAACTGCTCACGGTAGAACGGCCCAGTCATTGGCTTTAGGAAGCATGCATGCTAGTCCAGCATAAAAACTTTATCAAAAATCAAATCTCAATCAATGGCCTTCACAGCCTGCTCATCATACCCTGGTATTGATAATGGGTAGTTGTGGGAGTGGGATGTTCCCGGCTGGAGACCTCCAATTGACGAAGGCTGTAATTATCGATAATTGAATTCGGGTACTTCGGCTGGCTCTTTTTATAGAGAAATTGATCGAGCACGCTGCTTTCCGCCAGAAACAGTCGTAAAAACTCTTCATGAATACTCGATGAGACGATTCGGGCGGCCGACAGATACGGGAGGACAGCAGACGTTATTTGGGTGGCAGGCAGACGCGGGGAGGACGGCAGTTTTTCGAGCGGCAGGCAGGTACGGGGAGGACGGCATGAGTTCTTCGGGCGGCAGGCAGATACGGGGAAGGACGGCAGGAGTTCTTAGTGCGGCAGGCAGATACGGGGAGAACGGCAGGAGTTCTCTGAGAGGCGTGGATTTAGGGAAGAGCTGGACTATGAGGTGCGGCTGACACCGCAGACATAAGACCTCGCACACGTCTGGCGGATAGCTCGTTGACACGATTATGCCTGCATGGTCGCCTCGGACTGGGAGTGAGCCGACGCCGTTTAAAGTCGCCATTGTTCAGCCCGTGGTTGTGTTTGCCAGAGGCCTAGGGGGGGGGGGGGGGCGCCCACGGGGACCTATCGAAAATATGTTCTCATTAAGCAGGTGCCACCATTTTCGCACTGCCTGCTTGTCGATGCAGCAGATACGTGATCATCGAGTAACTTCCAAATGCAGTGGTAAGAGATTACCATGCGAGCTCAAACGGCGGTGCTGCAACATCTTCACAGGTTTATCTGCCGGCCACAGGTGCCTCATCTGGAGCTTTTTGCTTCACTTTTAGGATATGCTCTCCAGTGCACTTAGCAACGAAACATGCATACGTTTTATGGAAGGTCGTGTCTAATAAAGGAGATAAGGATTTTTGAAAGAAAACGAATGTATGTATTTAAAGACGGTATCGAAATATCTACTCTCAGAAAACGATTAGGAGCCGTGCCACAACATCACACCACTGCCTCTGATTCACCGACAGAATCACGTGCAACTCGCGCGTGCTTACGAAGACTTTCGTGACGCAACACACATCTACACGCGAAAAATATAAAATTGTCCAATCAGTCTGCACCATAGAAGGGCACGGCTGGCCCGTGCCGAACCGACCCGTCCACGACAGACGCCACTCGACAGGCGGGCGGTTAGCCTGCAGCGACAGGCTCTGGCGAACAGTACGAGCTGCAGACTTTTACCGCCGTGGTGAGCGCCGCTGCGGTCACCGGTGGCCGGACTGACCAGTTCTTCACCACCGCAGAAAAACGGGGGCCGTGCTGGGCCCGGTTGTACGAGAGGGCACTCAGTACGCACGACCAGTTGGTACGCTGGCGGTGCTTATCTTTGCCATCGATGGAGCGTCGCAGTTTTTGTCGCCAGTTGTACGCATTTGAACCTCGTGGAAAGCGACGCACAAGCATCTTACTCGGCCTGTGATCCAAAAATGTTTCAATAACCGTGCAGCTTTCATGGATTGCGTATATCATATATGTATATATATATATATATATATATATATATATATATATATATATATATATATATACAGCAAGATTCAAGGCTCTGTCTCTATCTTAATAAAAGCCAAGCGCGGTGATATCTTTCAATTACACAGCCATATGAATGTACCTGTACCATTCATTAAGTAGCAAACATATTCATTTGTATCCACCGGCGCACCGCTGAATTCGCCTTTTCATCAGATGAGCATTGTTTCCATTGCATATGTTCTCTAACCGTCGTGAACAAGTAGCAGTCGCCAGGAGCCGGGTCAGGTATGTACGGAGGATGCTGGCAGCTCGGTCAAAACTAGATGATGTGAGGCAATAGTTGTGGGTATGCTTGAATGCGGCTGGGCGCTGTGCGGCAGGATTGTCTTACAGGCACCGATGTCATTTACATACTTCCGGGGACCCTGAGCCCTCCAATTCTGGCTTGAGCCCAACAATGCTCCTCTGAGCTCCCCCCCCCCCATACATATGCAAAGAGGACATGTTAAGGAAAATAAATGCGGAGCTGTTACCTTAACTTTTGGGACACTTTGTAGAGAGTGTCTAAGAACATCGCAAGTAAAATCATATTAATTTTACACCAATTTGTATGCTTAAGATGCCTAAACTTTTTGTCATTCTCACTATTCCGTATGTCAAGCCAGTCTGCAAGCGTTTGACGAAATTTTCAAATGACGGCACCTGGGTTTGGCTACGAACAATTTATTGCAACGTGCGTGCAACGTGCAGCTTTTAAAAGCACTGGGTGGTCCAGTTAAAAGCTGACGCATGTTTTCCCCAACAGTGGCAAGCGCATTCACGGCAGTGTACGGTGTCTTTGTCGAATATTTGTGGCTATGGTGGTCATATAAGCGACAGCGGCAGTCATCAGCAATTTCTGATTAAGATTTGCTTAGATGTTTCTCTCTGTGCATTGCACCGCACTGTCATCTTTTCAAAAAAGACAGCTCACATTAAGCTCCAATGGGAATTCATTCCTCAGCGGGAAAACAATTTTGAATCCAAGAACTGTAATTTCTTATTCAAATGTTAACACTGAGGACACAAATTCAAGTGATCGAAATCTGGGGAGAAATCAGGTTATGGGGTCAGGTCAGGCCAACCTATTCGGCTGACCCCCACCCCCTTCAACCCAGTTTAAAAGCTTACACTCCTGCACACGGGAGTGTAATGGAGTGTACCTCCTTTTTTGCCAATACCATTTTCAGTTCTCTTAGAGACTTCATGTAGACCTCGGAATGCGGAATCCCTTTTCCAAGAAACCGACAGGCAATTCATTGGCAAGCCTCCCTGTTGAAGCTTAAGATCTAAACTTGTTCGGCTATGGGAAACCTTTGTGGTGGTATCCGATGGACTGCATATTGTGTTCGTGGGCATACCAGTGCATCCATGCTTCATAACCGGGCACAGTCCTCGTCCAGCAATCATCACCTTTGCTAACCACGTGACCCAAGACCTCTCGGGGAAAACCGGACCCCTTCGGCTTGCACCTTCTCAGTCACCTTGCATGGCATCCAGCTGGCGCAAACGTAACGACCTTGAAGAACATCGACGTTGTAAATACTTCCCAACCCTACCACGCTGTGTTTTGTTTGATGTGACAATGTGATATGTGATGTGATAATATCCACGAGTCCGTTTGTCGACAAGTTTGTCGGCGGTTTGTTGCCGTCACGGACCGTCACTGACGGCCGTTCGTCCCGGGCCGTCACTGACCGTCGTTCGTCACGGGCCTTCACTGACCGCCGTTCGTCACGGGCCTGCATTGACTGCCGTTCGTCCAGGCCTCACTGACCGTCGTTCGTCACGGCCTTCACTGACCGCTGTTCGTCACGGGCCTGCATTGACTGCCGTTCGTCCGGGCCTCACTGACCGCCGTTCGTCACGGGCCTTCACTGACTGTCGTTTGTTCGTCACGGGCCTGCATTGGCTGCCGTTCGTCCGGGGCTCACTGACCGCCGTTCGTCCGGGGCTCACTGACCGCCGTTCGTCACGGCCTTCACTGACCGCCGTTCGTCCGGGGCTCACTGACCGCCGTTCGTCCGGGGCTCACTGACCGCCGTTCGTCGGGGAGACTTGTGCTCCCAGCATCATCAGCACTCAGCCTTTCGTCCAACGTCTCAGAGTACTCACGCCAGCACCTTGATCGCCAAAAGCCGCTT